AAGGGAAACAGACAAGTTGCTGTCCTTTTGTTCTTCAGTCTAGTTGTGGAGGACGTCACTTCACTGGCCCATGTTGGTATTATCATTGCGCTCTTTCTGGGTGAAGCAGTTGCTCACCGGCCACTGGACGGCCTCTCACAGCGGCTCTTGGCAGTTCACGTCGGCTGCTGGCCACTCACATTAGCTTATGGCAGCCCACTGCAGCTCCACAGCAGCCTACACCGTCGCCGGCAACTCACAGCAGCCCAGCTCCAGGTCAAGCTGTTGTTCACCATCTTAGCTGTAGAGAGCGCAGCGTCACTGGCCCTAATGTGGGATCAGAACCGGGGCCCTGCTGCTCAGAGCTGGCATCCCAAGCCAACTCTTAACCAACGCACCACTCGGCCAGCCCAGGACATAAACATTTAAATAGCAACCAAGGGGCCGGCTGGGTGGCTCAGTTGGTTAAGAGCTCGCTCAAGAGTGCGAGCTCTGAGCAACAGGGTTGTCGGTTCGATTCCCGGCCTGAGCTGAGCTGCCAACTCAGGTGGCAGGATGGCTCAGCTAAAAATAAACAAACAAACAAATAAATAAATAGCAACCAAACATAATCTATTAAAAATGTCAGATGAGCAGGTAAGAGGGCAATGAAACCGACACTCGTACAAATTGTAGTAAGAAACGTGGCAATTTAAAATTGATTCAGAGATTAATAACCAGTAAAATGGGAGGAAAAACTGGAAAGGGAAAGCTAATTTTATCAAGAACTCAACATCAAATGGTGTGTCCACCTAAGTGACAAATAGAATCCTGAGCTTCCTAGTAGCCACAGCAAAAATGAAAACACAGCTAAGAAAACTCGCCGGCACGGCCTCCAGGAGAGAGAAATTGTTCACCAAGGCCCAGAGGAACTTTAGTCAAGTGAGTCCTCACACAGGCCCTAAGAAACGGGATCTGACAATGTTTCCATAGCAGTTCTGAGGGGATGTAACATGTGCCTCGGCTGCAAGAAAAGCTTATTTGAAGCACCACGCACAACTCTACACTTCTACTCTGGCCAAGAATGTGCTCTCCCAACCATCATGGAAGAATGAATTCCCTGAAAATGCCCGCCACGCCAGCAGCATGTTGGGCCTGACGGGTACTGGCTCACCTGCAGGCCTCCCCCTGGCTGACTGGCAGGGCTGGTTGCCAGCTCAAGCTGCCAGCTGCCTAAACAGTCCTGATGGCTTGGCTCTCTGGCTGCAACCCCTCAGTAAAGGGAGGCCCACAGCAGAGCTTGGCACTGGGGTAGACGCTGCAGCCAATTCCCCCACACGGTTCAGTTTTAAATGGCTCCCTCTGGGGATGCAGGGAGGGGAAGGGGCCAACTCCGAGTGTGTGGAATAAATGAAATGGAGGCTCAAATGCCCCAGGGAAAGGAAAACACTCACCTGAACATAACGTGGTGAAAGCAGCTCCTTGCTCTCTTAACCTCACTGTGCCTCAGTTTCCTCTTCTGTGGAATGGGGATAATTCACTTCACATCATCAGTGGGTTCTGAGACTTTCAGTGAAATGAGTTTAACGAAACAAATTTTACCCTCAGCTAATTGACATATACAAGAGTTAAGTTCCTACTGCATCCCATCAATGTGAGAACTAAATGACAAGGACATGCTGTGGGGACCTCATGGGGTTATTGTGAGGATTAAAAGAGCTGCACGTGCAAAGTGCTGTGAGCGATGCCTGGAACATGGTGAATGTTAGCTGTTATTATCATTATTATTATTATTGCCCTCAGCACTCCTCTGTGTGTATCCTAGACTCAAGCAATATGTCTCCAGTGCAAGGGGGTAATAAGAAAAAGTTTCTGAACCTTTTGATCACTGTGGAACCCTCAGCCTAGAGGCAAGCAATGGGTCCAAGTATTAGTTCATGATATATTGGAGGAGCCCCAAGCATGGGGTACCAGTTTCAGCCTTGCCACGAACTGGTGCCCCTGTGCAAGGGCATTGGGCCTTGGGCAAATCCTTGTTCCAGCCTGGGCCTCAGTGTACTCACCTATAAAGTGAAGTGATAGGACTCAATAATTCCTAAATTTGACTACACGTCAGAATCACTTTCAGGACATCATAAAATGCAGATTCTCAGGCTCTGCCAATTGAATTCAAGTCTCTGAAAATCTGCATTTTAATGAGCTCCTCAGCGGATTCTTGATGTTCTGTCAGATTTGAAAGCCCCTGACTAGCTGAGTTCTAAGCCCTCCCACTATTTGCACACTAAGGCTAACTGCAGACTCACAGAGCAGAGAGGTCATGGAGTGTCGTGTGCTTGATGATGGTCGAGGGCAGAAGGTCGCCTGCTTGTGAGGGCCCCAGAAGAATATACGAGTGCCCCTTCGTGCTCTTCCAGGGCTTAATCATGCCTAGAGGTAACAAGTTTTACATTTCCTAACCCCAGCTCTGATGGCATCACATCTCCCGCCCACTATCCTCCACAACACTCCATCAAAACCTAACTTCTCACCCCGCCCTTCAAGGCCTGTCAGGGCCTAAATCAACCCACATTTTTGCTTTCATAACTTATTACATTTCTCTTCCATAACCCCTGCTGGCGAAGAGCCACCTTGGGCTACAGTTAACTTTCTTGAATTTTTTTTGACAGAGGGTTTCCTAGACTTGAATATCATAGAACATTCTCTCTCCCCACCACTGGCTCTTTTTCATGGCAAAATACCTATGATATGGATACTAAGTGCTTTACAGAACTCAGTTTGGGAACCACTCTCTATGCCCTTCCATCTGCTTGCCAACGGCTTGACTCTCTATTCTGGGACCTGCCCAGGTCTTGAACTCCGACTCAGAACAATCGCCTATGGCTCTTAAGCCTGCCATCTCTCCCTTGACCGTACAACTGTCAAGGCTCTGCAGTGGTTCTCAACCTGGAGGTCGCGACCCCTTTGGGGGTCGAACGACCCTTTCACAGGGGTCGCCTAAGACCATCGGAAAACAAAAAGATATTTACATTACGATTCATAACAGTAGCAAAATTACAGTTATAGAGTAGCAACGAAAATAATTTTATGGTTGGGGGTCACCACAACATGAGGAACTGTGTTAAGGGTTCGCGGCATTAGGAAGGTTGAGAACCACTGCTCTACAGGGACAGGAGACCAGAACACTACTTCGTCCCCACCCTTATTCCTCTTTGCCTTCCTTTGAGCGGGTACCACACCTTCCCGGAGGGTAGAGCTACTCAAAAGTCCATCTTGATTTACTTAAATAAGCACAGTTGACCATTCGACCATCTTTGTTTCCCAATAAACAGCCTCCTCTTCTCATTAGCAACTCAAGCAGGTAACTACTGACCTCTCCTGGGGCTCCCCCCTTTTCCTGCATCTGTGACAGACATCATGGACTGATCACAGCACTTGCTCCCACACCCCCAGATGTGATGATGTACGTTCAGAATCCTTCTCAACACAATTCCCCAGGCAGGTATTACCCATCAATCAGAGGTGGCATGCCAGTTGAGACAGTCCTACTTACCATCAATGACCTAGTTGATTAAATAGCAAATGTGTTTACCAGAAAAGCTCTGCTGAGTGTCAATTTCAACTCCCTTATGGAACCTTAAACTGGAGTCTTCTCTAGTTACAGTCTATCTACTCGAAGCCTTTCAGGCAGGAGGATCGGGGTTGTGGGTGAGGATCTATCAGCAGTCTAACGTGGCATAAGAACTGGAATAAGACTTGCCAAGGTCAGAAAAGCTTGTACTGAGACCTGTCCTGGTGCATTGTCCACCTCCCATTGTTTTCTCTGGCCAAAACCCAAAGGAGTATCTGGTGAGCTGGCTAGTCTTAGACACAAAGAACAGCACTTGAGAAGAGCACTACCAAACAAATGACAAACTACACCTAGAAAGACGAATCTCTGGGGGCGGGCAGCAATTGGAGATGGCTTCGACGTCCCTGAGCAGTGGCCAGGTTTTCAACTTGGCCTGAGCCAATGGAACCATGTGCAATGGAACCATATGCAATGGAAAGACTGGTATCTTCGGTCAGATAACAGGCCACTCCGGTTTCTCCTCTCCTCTTCCCCTCCTTCTCCTCCCAGCTGATCACATTTCCTTGGTGATTTTCATGCTTAGTCAGTAGGTCTTAGGGGACAAGTGTGAATTCCATAGGGACCTTATCTGTATAAGCTGCTCTGTACTCATGCTATCCTCTGCACGGTATCTTCCTTCCTGCCTGCCATAGGCATTTACTAAACACCTACTATGTGCTGAGCACGACTATAGAGAAGAAAGCCGTCAAACTCTAATTGGAGCCACCAGGGAAGGCTGTATATGAAAGACAATGCTCTGATCAGCAGAAAAATGCATTTCAAGTTGCTTCCTCTCTTCTTCAGGCCTCAAAAGACGCACAACTGAGATTGGAGAAAATTGAGAGCCTGGCAGCTAAAATGCAGGAATTTCAGCGAATTCTACAAGATCATGAAAAGCCCCTATAGGATAAATAGAAACCAGTTCTCAAATTCAGGACAGTACATAGAGGGCTCAGCAGTTTTGCTAACTGCCAGGGACTTTTGTTTTATGTCTATTAACTCCCTAACCCCCCACAATAATGCTATGAGTTAAAGACGTTTATCATCATTCAAAAGATGAGAAAGAGGCACAGAGAGGTTCACTGACTTGCCCAAGGCCAGCAGCTAGGAAGCGCTGGGGCTGGGATTTGAACCTCTGTGTCTCCTGGCAGAGTCCTAAGCTACCTGAAGTCTGTACATTTAAACAACAAAGTTCTGATCTCAGATGGACTAGAGTAGGGTGGGGTGAATAATGACTGAATGGAGATGTATCAGGACATTCTATCAGTTAAAGATAGAAGGGTTTTGATAGATGGAAGCTCAGAGTAACTATTGTATCCCCCCACTCACTTTTTTTTTTCCAAAGATTTCATTGGGGAATTGGGGAAGGGGAACAGTGTTGGGGAATTTGGACAAGGGAAACAGCCAAGTTATTGTCCTTTAATCTCAGTTGTGGAGGGCACAGCTAGCTCAGATCCATGTCCAGTCGCCATCCGACCGCCCATCGGCAGCTCGCGGCCACTCAGCTCAAGGTGCCGTGTTCAATCTTAGTTGCGGGTGGGCGTAGCCACCATCCCACAGCCAGGCGGGAGTCGAACCGGCAACCTTGTTGTTAGGAGCACATGCTCTCACCAGCTGAGCCATCCTGCCGCCTGTTGGCAGCTCAGCAGCAGCTCAGCTCAGGCGCAGCTCACTGGCCCATGTGAGAATCGAACCAGGGATCCCGTTGCTCAGAGCTCGCGCTCTTAACCAACTGAGCCACCCACTTTTAAGGAAAGCCTCATGAAGGCCACATACCCACCAGAGCCACATCTCCTAGTGTCCCCGACAGACAGCAGGGCCTGACCCAGAGTCCAGTTGTCATGTTCTTGAGAGCCAGACATGGACATAGATCCTCATGGGTCCCTCCACGTCCTAGCAAACTGCACTTCTGACTAGAAAACCACATGATGTAATTAGTGCCTGGTGCCACCCTGACGCGGGTCCAAGCGGCCTGAAGCCCTAACTTCTAGACGGAACTCTACCACCTTCTGTCTTGCAGCTCAGTTTTTTCCTCTGTAAATATTTACTCATTCAGAAAACAATTCTGAGCACCTACCTCCTCCTGACCAGCCATCATGTGCAAAACCCTGAAAGCACTCAGTTGAATTCAGTAGCTGCTCCCAAGGAACTCACTATTTGCTGGTAGAGACAGACAAGGAAAGGGAGCTTAAGATGGCCCTGTGTCCTTCCAGAGCTCCAGAGAGCAAGGCTCCGTTCTGTCCCTCCTCCCCCTGGGAGTTTATAGCAGAAAATGAGATCACACAGGACAAAGTGCTTTGTAAATAGCAGAGGGTAAGAATGAGGTGTGTGGGGAGGAGGGGGAGGATTTAAACCCAGGAGCTGTCGGCCAAGTCTGGAGGCTCTGGGCAGGCAGCTGGCCAAGCTATGTGCTCTGTCTGGGACCGTGGCGAGGCCTCATGGGCGCAAGAGGACAAAGCCTGGAGCTCTGGGCTCACTCTCCCTGCAGGCCAAGCCTAAGCCTTGCTGCCCTGGGCTCTATCATGGCAGGGACCTACACCTTGTTATTGCTTGGGACTAGGTGCTTTTGCAGCCCCGCGCCAACCCCTGACTTCTTCAGTGTCTCCGCTGGAACAGTGACAAAGGCTGTGTCTCCCCTCTATTGTGCAGCCCGAGAAGCTCGATTTCTGAGTCCCCTTATATAATGACGTCCCTGAGAAATGGTGGCCCGAGGTGACGCCAGCACGGCCATTCTCTGTGCTAAAGCGCCACCTAGAGGCCAGCTCTAGCTCAAACGAATGTGTGTAGGTATGTTTTACCATTTGCCCAGGCAGCGGGAAACGAAAGGAAGAGAGATGTGCACGGGACTAAAAGGCAAGAAAATGGCAGAGGACCCTCCCGAGGACCCCATCAGTCCCTTCACCAACCCCTGTGTTGTTTGCTGATGAGGTAGTCAAGGGCTGAAATGTCTCTGCCTCTCACTGGGACAGTATTTCCTCTATGTGCAGGGACCAGTGTGAGAATGGCACTGTTTCTCATGTATTCTAAAATCTCAATCCGAAGAGCAAACATACTAAGAAAACCCTCCAGGTTGTCTGTCAGCCCAGACCCCAACCCATCTGCTCCTCTCCTATCCCTCTGGCGAGCTTGGGAAAGCTGTTTTTCAATGGATAAGGCCTCCTCTGGGGGAGAGTTTGCCGATTCTGCTTACATTTCTGGAACTGGCTGCCCTCCACTGAGCATGAACATACATTTATCATGGGCCATTTATTCAGAAGTAGCTGGATGAGTCTACAAAGGCATCAAGCTACGCCAAGAGTTCAAAATCAGCATAGAGTTATTTTTGCCCGAAGAAAACCCAAGCCAGATGGTAGCAGGACATCAAGAAAGGTAGCCAAACTCCCAAGCTGACTTTTTTTATTAAATCCTCTTACTGTAGGTTTTTCTGTTCAATCTTTTGCCAGAGCAGCAATTTAGCTTCCTACGAGTAGGCTTATCAAATTGTTACATCTAATTAGAAAACAAGATACATGAAATATCCAAGCTCTCACTGCCCATCTGAGCATCCTAGTTGACGCTGCTTGGGGGCAGCAGCTGGTGCAGTGTCCACGGAGGGTCTGCAGAGGCCATAACACGTCTTTGCCTGCAAACAGCCGCTGTTCTCTCTTCAGACCAACAACAATTCCAACAGGGGGCTCCCTTTAGAGTAAACCCTGAGCCTCCTTGGGAAAACTATGTTTGAATCTATTAAAAAGCTACAGCTGTCCCTCATGGATAAAGTGCAGTCCACGGACTGGCCGAAGGGTCCAGAGGAAATGAAGCTGCCACTTTCTTTACCCATGATCCCAAATAAGTTAGATTGACTAAAACTGCAGTGTTTGCTTCTCCCCCGTAGAAACAATTCCACTTGGCACTTACAGCAATCTTGACGTGTGATCTGAAGATGCGTATTATCATTGCTGTCTTGCAGAGAAGGAAATAGAGGCTACAAGAAATTGAGTAATTTTCCTGTACACGATGTAGCCAAGATTTGCACTCACATGTTCTGGTTCATTGTCCCAATGCCACCATCTCTCTTGGCGTGACGCCAACATATTAAGTACAGAAAGAATATTCTGAAAAGCAATGCATTTTACTACAGATTGTTGCAAGAATTCTTACACAATCCTAAGGACTGTGTAAGATATAAGGTGAGATTTATGGACCAAGGATGGCCCTCATTCAGGAATAATGCTCACTGGAGGTCAGTTCACACAACTCACTTTGAGAGCTCCAAGTTTCTCAATTAAACTGAAATACTCCTGACTTTGTTTCCTACTTCATTCCTTTCATTTAAATCAGAC